GTGGGATCATGCTCGAAGGGGTGAATATCGCCATAAATTTGAGTTCCATCATCATTGACTTTTTGCGTAGGCACTGCCGAAAGTGGGGATCTTAGAGACACCAATCGGATCGGAGGATATGATAGTTTCGGAGGAATTGCTGAAGCTTATCGTGCTCTCGAGGTACCCCTTGATATAGATGATGCGATGTTAATCACCATTTACCAGATGAGGGTTTGTGCATAGTCTGATTCCTCGAATTTTTTCTGAGTTGAATACCTTTCGCTCAGGTTGATGACTCGCCAATGCAACTTGAAAAAATGCAGCGAGCCCTTTATTTAATATCGCAAGAAAGGGACAGCCCGAGGTTAAAAGAGTTCGCAACGACTATGAGGGATCGTGAGTTATCTTCCGTATTTGAAGGCAGTGGTATCGATGTGACTGTCGTCGTTCATGCTGTTCATACTGCCTCCTCATGAGCAATCAGGCGCTTTTCATCGCAATGCTTATTGACGCTTCTTTTATTTAAACAGCCGGCGAGATCCCTGCTCCAACACGCGCTGAGTGGCCTCGGGGTCTCAATCAACTTGGCAATACATGCTACTTAAATTCACTACTACAGGTAGTGCACCTTTCACCTCTTCCTGTTTCATGATTGTTTTGATGCCTTTACAGTATTTCTACACCATCAAGGAACTCCGTTCGTCGATCATTACGATGGGCAGTATGAGCGGGGAGAGCACCGCTGGCAAAGACACCCAAAGCAGTGGGTTGAAGGACAACAATGCTATCTTGGCCTCTTCTCATACCACATCCCAAAACCATTCCGACACTTCAGATCTGGTTAAAGATCCCGCAAAAGCCAAATTGCTGGATGGTGTTACTGACGATGATCTAAAGAGACATAGGGTTGGAGGGAGACTAGTTACGAGGCGGGAGATTGTCAGATCGAAACATTGTAAGTTGAACTCTATGTCTGTGTAGTCCAATATATTAATCATCTTTTCTGGTACAAAGTTGTCTCTCACCTTGCAGACCTTTTCCATAAACTTGAATATGCTGATCACCCTTCTGTCACCCTTCAATCGAATTGGCGAAACTAGCCCTAGTCACGTCAAAGGATGAAGAGGAGGAAGTAGAAGAGGAATCTAACAAAGCCGATTCGCAATCTAACAAGGCTGGAACGGATTCATCTCAGGACACTGACGCCACACTTGTCGAAGATTTACCGCCTCGTCCGTCACATCCCCCTCCATATCAGTCAAGTACTGGCTCTTCCTCGCAAACAGAACGCCCGCCTCGGACAAATTCTCCTATATCGATATCTTCCTCGCCATCAACCTCGCCTCATTCCTCGTACAACTTGACCAACTCTCCGCCGAGTCCTACCCGATCTCCTTCTTCCGTTTTAGGCAAACGCGCACGAGACCGAGACGCCCCAAGTGCAGGACTTTCAAGAGAGGATACCGAAATATTAGACGATCATTTGTTACGCGCTTCGGCTTCGCCACCACCTTCGTCTGTAGCTTCCCTTGGGTCAATCTCGAGAGATGGTTCAAGGGTATCTGAAGGACCACCACCGTTGGTCTCCGTATCCGAATTCCGAGATTTGGAAGATGTAGTAATGCGCGATGTGTCCCCAGCTCAAAACGTTTCCAAACTACCACAACATCCACCGCCCCTCCCTCCAAGAAAACCAGCACCTCTAGCTCACAATGATTCCGTCATGATGTTTGGTTAGTTGTACCTAAGTTTGACCTGAAATTACTCAATATGGTATTCTAGGAAAGCAGCACGATGTCGCAGAATGCATGGATAACTGTATGTTCCAAATTGAGACTGCGTTGCTCAAGTTCCATGGGAGCGGAGAAGGCAATGCGGATGATGCGGCTTTGGATGATACTGAAAAAACAAGCATTGTTAAGCGGTATGTCTCTCTTTTTCTTTGCCCTGCCCTTTCATCCTTTTCGTTGGTCTACATAGTCTCTTCTACGGGAAAATTCGCCAAACTTTCATTGAAACCCTCAAGGGTGAACCCACAAGACACGAAAAAGAGGACCTGTTTTCTCATCTGCCTGTCAATGTCGGAGACGAAGTTGACCTGCTTGATCGTGGAAATAGTCCCCCTTTCTATGATGCTGACCTTTCTGCGGTGGCCGATGACACGGACACTTCAAAAGATTCAAAAGAATATTCAACATTTGATATTTATGATGGTTTAGGAAGGTATTTTGATGATATGATTGAGTATGAGGGACAGAAGGTGCCAATGGAGGTGGGGTTGGTAAAGTTGCCTCCATTATTGCAGGTCCAGTTACAGGTAAGCTTACAATATGTGTTGCCCGCCGTTGGAAAAGCATCATGAGTAACGCTATTTGCTCTTGACAGCGCGTTCAATTCAATCGTGAACTCCTACAATCCTGGAAATCTCAAGCGTACGTTAAGTTTGGTGAAGCATTGTACATGGATCGGTTCATGGACACCGCGGATCCGGAGAAAAGAAAAAAGTCGAAAGAGGTTCAGGATGAGCTGAATGCGTGTAGGGAACGGCTGAAGCTATTGACTAAGAGCAAATCGAGTGTGCGCTTACCATTCAAACTCGCCTAATTTCTGGTGCTTGACCATCCCTTCTTTACCTCATATATGCAGACCGTCTCGTTCTCTGATGCCTTGCAAACGACATACAACTTCCTCTCTTCTTCAGGCGCATTCCTCTCTTCGATCTCCATCCCGGTGGCTCAATCCCAAATTCCCTCCCTTTCCTCTGAACCGAATTACATCCAAAACGAAATCCGGCGCCTTAGAACTCGGATCCCTGAATTGAAAGTCCAGCTAGAGTCACTCTGGGCCGAGAATAAAGAAGTCGAATATGAGCTTACTTCAGTATTTATCCACCGAGGCTCTACTCCAAGTTTCGGTCATTACTTCTTCTACTCCAGGAGTTTACCGGAGCAGCCTGATGTGTGGTACAAGTATAATGATGAAGAGGTTTCAAAAGTAGGAAAGGAGGAGGTATTTCGGAATACGACAGGAGAAACAGCGAACCCATATTTGGTATGTTTCTGTTAGCTTGGATCTGTGAAAATAATTGACGGTCGTCTAGCTTGTTTTTGCGCGAAAAGGCTCGCAGGTTATCGAAACCGTGAACAGATTCGATCCTGCGTTGTTGAATAATAATTCTAGGATGAGCCCAGAACCAGGATTGGTAGTCAAACAACAAGCTGAAGCTCTCAAGGCTGATTCGTCTAGCCAAGATATGCTCACAGATTGGGGTGCAACCTCTCAACTCAATGAAAATACTGTGGCGTAGATCTGCACTGTCTCTTACGATGGATTGTGTAAAATGGGTAGTTTGTTCCTGGTCGATCATACTGTACTTCCTATAGTACTACACACACACACAATGCACATACCTAGATCTAGCCAGTAAAAATAGATATACTAACTGGAGCGTACTCATCTTCAAGCTGCAAGAGCCTGGTTTCGCTACACAGGACAGTCAAAGTCAAGTGGTTTGGGGATCATACCTCCCCAGTATGGGGAACTGGACTCCCTTTTCATTTTTAATGGTTATCAAACAAGCCATCATTGATATCAGCCATAGTGCTACAGGATCTGTCACCATAAGCAACGGCCTGAGCTCATTCTGCTTGCATCAAGTATTGCACAGTCAATTTTAAAAATTCTCTGCCTGGCTTGTGCAAAGTATTACCATATGGTCAATCGGCAGTCGGGTCAGCCATTTGTGCATGTATGACTTGTGCTCTCGGGATGGGTCTATTCACCAGCGTCCCTGGGTATGCCCGACTTTGGAAGGTAGGCTACGATTGATATTATCAAGCTGACGCTGGTACCGTTGGAACAGCCCATGGCTAGCTAGTAACACTGCATCTTGTTCAACGTATCCATGCCTCTTCGCAGACAGCTGATTTCATGCTCCCGTTCCTCCTTTCTAGGTTTGTGATCTCTGCATGCCTTGATATGACCTGGTCACCAACCTAGTAATTGCCGAGGCTACCAAAGAGTATAAAAGACGAAATCCTTTGACCGACAAAATCTCCAAGTAATCGTGTCTTTCCTTCGTTCTGTCTTGTTGTATCATTCAGCTGTTGCTCTACTCACTGGCAGTCAATCTGATCATCATCGATCCTCGCTTCTTATAATCCACTTTGAATCCATCCGAGCCACTCTCTATCGACAACATGTTTAACAAATCTCTCCTTTTTATTGCTCTCTCTTTCATTGCTCTAATTCAAGCGATACCCTTGCTCCGTCGTACTGTTTACACTGGTGACGGCAAGTCAGATTATCAAAAATCACTTCGATATTATACTCAACGTTTTGGTCAAATTCCTCATAGGAACCTATTATACTCCGGGACTAGGAGCTTGTACGTGTTATTCTTCCACCCAGTCACAATTTCCTCACAATGTGTAAATAGGTGGTTTAGTCAACGATGTAACTCAGATGGTTGTAGCCATTGGTTATGAAGCCTTTGACTCCTTCCCGTAAGAATTATGTATCCGTCTAGAATTCAAGCTCATGGTTTTTTTGCAATAGAGGTGCGACTGCTAATCCAAATCTGTAAGAAGAGACACTGCTTTATTATGAGTTTTATGTTTGCATTCATCATACATACTTACAAGTCGGTCTGGTTGTGTAGTAACCCGATCTGCGGGAAGAAGGTCACTGCCTCTTGTGCGTTCTCTTCTTCTCCTGCTTCTTACAGGCTGACACCGACGTCCGTCTCTACCTGCGCTTATAGATGGAGGACACAGCGTCACAGTTGAAATCGTTGACCGATGTACTGGATGTGCGGGTGAATTTGATTTGGACTTCAGCCTGTCTGCTTTCAGTGTCTTGGCTAATCCGGCCGTTGGTCGTCTCGAGGGTGTCACTTGGGAATATGTAGCTTAGTTAGCAAATTTACAGTATCTACCTCTCGTGGAGTGAAATTATTGTAGTCTTTATATGATTGGTAGAAGGTGGTCCAGAGACAGACCAAAAAGCACTGCAATTAATACACCGTTCGGGAATCGAACCCGAGCCGCTTGCTTCTATTCTGGATGGAAGGCAAGCATGATAACCACTTCACCAACGGTGTATCCAACACAGAAGTCCGAGAGAGATCCCTTGTCTTATGACAGCGGGCGCTGGCCACTGAATGAGGTTGTTTTCATGAACCTATGTAGCCACTCTTCCCTTCCCATTCAAATGGCTAGCCAATTGACCAGGATGCTGTAGGATCAGTTTCTCTAGCATTTCGAGAATATTATTCATCTGTGCGGCGGTGCCGAAGCAAAGTATCCAGTGATAAACGCCATTTGTGTACTCTGATCTACGTTGTGCGAACAGTTGTCCTATCTATACACATGCACAACGTTGCAAGCAGTAAGGGCCAAATCCATGGTACAACATTACATACTGCTTCAAATTCAGCGGAGGAGAATTGTGAAAGTGCCTGCTATTAACTAACACAGCTCCATCTACAGAGCGTCCACGGCAACAATCCTAAACTCCGTTCCACCTGCGGGATCTCTCGTCTCTTTCATAATCTCGCAAGTAAGAGTATGTTCACCCGGTGTGGCATTCTCAGCTATGACTTCCGAGCTAGATGAGGAAAAATTCAATGTCAGCGAGCGCGAAAAATCAAGGGTAGGAAAAACATACTTTGCTACGTGGCTATAATGGTGGAAGGTTATCAGAAACGATTAGTAACAAGAAGACATCGATGCAAGGGTTTACTAACATATCCTTATACTGCCAGTGACCATCCAGCCTCTTGCCAGCATTTCTGTTGTCATCAACCCAACACCATGCACTGCCCAATCCATAACTCCCGCTCCTCAAGTAGGTCACCCTTACTCGCCCCAGAGCACTCGTTTGGACTTTGAACGCCGCCTTGACACCAGGCTTCCGACCAGTCAACCACACCTTGCCAGGGTTTTGTGGATGACTCCACATCGCAAACGCGTCAGGACCTTCAGTCGACAACGGGGCCGGCAACGCCTCAAGAAGATGCGCATAAGGTGAAGAAAGACCATTGCCGTTCCCTGAGAGGGTAGTGGTTGTTCTGCAAAAGGGAATCGCAGGTCGAAGAACGGTGGTATGGTCGAACTTTTGGAATAAGGATAGACGAGGAATGTATTCAGAGACCTGTGGACCTTCATTGGGGTTGGGTAGACTTAGTGTAAGTCCTTCGTAGCGGTCGCTGTCGTACGGTACCCAATCCCAACCTCCGACAACGTCGGAATCCTTGCCGCTCAAACTGGCATGTTGTGATTGCTCTTCTCGCCAGCCTTCGCATGCGACGCGGGAAGTGAATGATTTGAGAAGGTCGCCGAGCATGCGGTGCCCATTTGTACTGATATGGCGAAGGTCGACTCCGTTGGCGTCATTATGAAACCAATAATTCTCAAGGGAATTGTCTGAGGAGTTAAGCTGAGTGGAACGTAAGATATGCGGGAGAAGGACATTGCGGAGGCTAAGGAAATAAATACTGAGCTTGGCGAAAATTTAAAGGTGAGACAGTACATGCCTTAGAATAGGTGTATCGTAGTATTGAGCTACGGCGGTGTGAAGATCGCCGCCCATTGTTATAGTTGGAAACATGAGCGCCATTACCTGCGGAAGGAATGAATATGGGAACAAAAGATGCCTAGAAATAACATACCTGAATGTTGATAATCGCAGGCTGCTGAGGTAGCGCGAAAACCGCCCGTATAAGATTCTCATATCCTTTAGCCAAAAACTCTAGTCGCTGATCATTGATAGCCAGCTCGATGATGACCAGATCAACATCTTCCGGAATGTGCTCTCGAAAACAGGTCTCCATGTATTGACTGACCGTCGCTCCAACTGAGCCATTGATAAGTTCGACCTCGACATTAGCAGGGTCGGCCGATGTGGAATTGACGAAAGTTTCGCGGATGTATTCTGCGTAGATGTGTGACCAATTGTGGCGATGATCTCTCAAACCATGACCCTTGGACACAGAGCCGCCTATAATACCAATCTTGATCTTCTGTCCAGAGCGCACTTTACGCAATACACGCTTAAGGCGAGCATTAGGACCTTCGTAGGCGCGCGAACGAGCAAGATTGAAGGAACTAAAAAAATGTTTATTGAGATTTAACAACCATTTTTGTCGTGGAAAAAGACCTACCCGTATCGTTTGCAAACCTCGTCAGTGGAAGTGCAATAATTGCAATACGCCGGCTCGGGGTTCGTAGACGCTTCGACAGGTGTTGTTGTGACTGCTGAGGTCGCTAAATGTGTGGGTCTCGCTATGATAGTTGTCGTTGTGATAGTCGGAGCCAGTTCAGCTGCGTGTTGATCATTCGAACTGCAGAAGGATAGGGGAGAGCCAAACGAGAAGGTCGAGTTTCCTTCAGCGTCAGAATAGATGAAGACAAACAATGTGAGGTAGAGAACGATTGATAGCAAGACGACGCCGACGATGAGAAAATAGTAAGCAGAGCGTGTGACTTGGCGTGGGGCGGGAATTCGTCCCATGTCTGGACTCGAGGCAGGTGGAGTAAACAAACACAAAAATCGGTTGTGTATTTATTCATCTTTAACATCTTGCATAAGACAGTACAAGACAGGACCTGACAAAAAAACCCTGATTGACAGTCGGAGAAAAGACAGGGGCGGAATTCATTTGGATGACGGAATATGATGGATTGCTATGTTTGTTTTATCAAGAGCTTTGTCAAGCCCTTCCCGGTGGCTGACCAGCGTCGATTTTGTGCAAAAATATCGAAAAAGCGTTGAATTGGTGTTGAGAACTCAGAGTGGACAAGTCGTCAAAACCCAACGTTGCAGGGCCGCCGAGTACTCGATTTTGACCGTCAAGACATTCTAGGTACATACTGGCGACACGCGTGAAATACCGTCAACCACTGATCAACATGGCCCCTTTTCAGATACTTCCTTAAAGTTTCTAGTTCTAACTTCTAGACCTTCCTATCTGTGGAAAGGAGACGGAAGAGTCACGAGCGAATCATTATCTTTCATTTATCGTATTGGCCTAACACAAGTTCATAAGTATGATACGGTCACGAAGGGTCGTCACGGAATAGATATCGGTAATATCTAAAGCAGAGCAAAATATCAATGACAAGTTTGACACATAATTTTATCCATCGTCTACTACAGAGCGTCCACAGCCGCTATTCTAAATTCCGTAGCACCTCCGGGCTCTTTAGTATCTTCTAGAATTTCGCAGTAGAGAATGTGCTCGCCAGGCGTTGCATTTTGAACAATAACGTGCGTGCTACAGGAAAGTGTTTGGGAAAGGAACAAAAGGTGAGAAACGTCCTTGAAAAGGAACAGAGAGAACCTACTTTGTTACATGACTATATGGGTGGAAAGAGGAGACGTTTTCAGGACCATAGCATGAGCGGATTAATTGTAAAATCAACTTACGCATTCTTATATTTCCAATAACCATCCAGCCTTTGCCCGTTCTGTCTATCGTCATCAATCCAACACCACGCACTCCCCAATCCCCAACTACCGCTTCTCAAGTAAGTCACCCTCACCCGTCCCAACGCACTGGTCTGCACCTTGAATGCAGCCCTCGCACCGGGTTTCCGACCAGTCAACCACACCTTTCCAGGATTCGACTGGTGACTCCAAAGCACAAATGTATCAGGATCTTCGCTCGAAAACGGCGGCGGCAACGGTTGGAGAAGGTGGGCATAAGTCGAGAAAGCCGCCATACCCACAAGCGTATTCGTTGTCCGGCAGAAGGGGACTGCTGGCTGAACAAAGGTCGTATGGTCGTATTTTTGAAAGAGTAATTGGCGGGGCACATATTCGGAAACATCGTCACCTTCGTTGGGGTTGGGAACACTAGAAATAAGTCCTTCAGTTCGATCGCTTTCATAAGGATCCCAATCCCAGCCTCCTGCCACATTAGAATTCTCGCTATACGTGCCGATCAACTGATCTTCATGCCAGCCTTCGCAAGCGACGCGGGAGGTGAAAGATTGAAGAAGATCAGCTATCATGCGGTGGCCGTTTTTACCGACATGACGCAGGTCAAGCCCGCCGACTATATCATGGCCAAACCAGTAGTCCTCGAGAGAATTATCGGAGGGTTTCAGCTGAGTGGAGCGCAAAATATGTGGGAGGAGAACGTTACGGATACTAGAGAGCAAGATTATGATCAACGTGACTTGGCCAAAAGGGTGCAGCATACCTGATGATGGAGGTATCGTAGTATTCAGCAACGGCAGTGTGAAGATCACCACCCATTGTAATGGTTGGGAACATAAGGGCCATGACCTATAACATAATTATGACGACGAGTCAACAAAGTGAAGAATCAACATACCTGTACGTTGATGACCGCGGGCTTCTGAGGTAACGCGAAAATTGACCGAATGAGATGCTCATATCCCTGAGCTAAGTATTCCAAACGCTGATCATTAATAGCCAACTCGATGATCACCAAGTCGACATCTTCAGGTATGTGTTCTCGAAAACATGTCTCCATGTACTGTGTAATCGTTCCAGAGACAGAGCCGTTGATGAGCTCAACTTCAATATTGGTCGCGTTGGATGAAGTAGACTCTGCAAACATGTCGCGAACGTGTTCAGCATAAAGGTACGACCAATTATCACGACGATCTTGTAATCCATGGCCTTTCGAGACCGAACCGCCAACTATGCCGATCTTGATTTTCTGTCCAGAGCGTAATTTCCGAAGAACACGTTTAAGACGCGCATTGGAACCTTCATAGGCACGTGAACGAGCCAAGTTGAAAGATCTACGTTGATGAGGTCAGTGAGATTTTGTGAGGATCATTGTTGGCTTGTAACTAACCCGTATCGTTTGCAAACCTCATCAGTAGGGGAACAATAATTGCAGTATGCGGGTTCAGGTTCGACTGGTTTTGGAGTAGGTGTCACTGTCACGGTCATTGTTGAAGTGGTCGGCGTCGTTTCCTTCATGCCATGGGTATTCCTAGAGCCGCAGTAGGTTGAGGGAGATGCGAGTGAAAGAGACAATTTTCCCTCCACATCGAGGAAAATGAAAAACGTGAGATAGAGAATCAAGGAAAATAGTCCGACCCCGACGATCAAGAAGTATTG